ACATATGCATATTTTTTGCACTTACACGTGCGCTGATACGAGTATATACGCCAACATTGACACGCCCGTTGATGTACATTTGCCTATCTGTCTGTCTGTCTCTCTCTCTCTCTCTCTCTCTCTCTCTCTCTCTCTCTCTCTCTCTCTCTCATCTTTTCCCTCCATAACTGACCTTTTAATTCAATCCGTGTTTCGTTTGCCTTTTTTCTTGCCTGTTCTTTTACCTGTCTGTCGTCTGCGTGTCTGTCTATTTGTCTGTCTGTTAGTTAGCGGGTGCCCCTAATTTCATTGCTCTCAATCTGTACTTTTTTACGTCTATCATTCTTACTTTTTTCCTAGCACCGAATTTACCGGTGGGTGGTTGGAGGGTGCCACCGGTAGGCCCTACTTCTTTACTTTTACTCTGTTAAGTGTCTCTGTCTGTCTGTCTTACTTTTTCTCAGCACTAAATGGTCATTATTGTGTCGATGTGCTTCTCCTTACTCAAGCAAATATAACAAACGAATTGGTCGCTTTTAAGACAAGGGGGGCTAACCCAGATTTCGGGGGTTTCCAGAAATTTTAAATCTTGACCTGCACCAAAAGTGGGCTTTGCCTTACCAATAGGAGAAGTTTGGTTTCGTTGTTGCGTATATTTGATTTGTTATAAAGAAAACTCTCTTTGTCTTTTAAAGAAACTGAACAATGGTCCAAAACCTTTACCTTCGATTTTCTTACAACAGCATTTTTCTTAACGACCAATTTTCCGTTGCTGTGTCTTCCGTGTTTCTCTTTACTTAATTTAGACCGTTTGTCTAGGTTTTTTCCTGCCTGTCCGTCTGTATGTTTTTCTGTATGCACATCTGTCCAAGTGGGCGCTCTGATATGGTTGCTCCTTCTCTCCTATCAAACATCTATTCTCATTATCGTGGGTGGTCAGAGGGGGCTCTTACTCTGGTGTAGTTAGCTTCTTCCCTCGTATCAATAATTTATCTTCCATATCTCTCCTCCTTTTCTTTGAATGTTAGTCTCTTGTAGTGCATTCAATCTTTGGCACTTTGTGTGACCTATTCACAATTCGTGTTGCAAATGCCCAATATCTCGATCTAAAATTAAAACATGTCCGTCCTCCACTCTCTTAGTTCAATTTTAAGATTGAGTGCTATTTTATGAGAGACGCGCGGCTGTGGACTGTGAATGTGTTCTGCTGTGTTGAAGTGCGAGGGGAGGAAGG